AATAATTAGGTTAGAGAAGCATATATGTGAAAACTGACTTATTTAATAATTAATTCTATTTAAAAACAAATGTTTTATTAAGATGAATTATAAGAATATCTTTTTTATCTTAACCACAAGTTTTTTTAAGTCTGTCCTTCTTTACTTTTTTTACATTTTTTTCCCCAAAATATTTCGTCAAATTATTGTAACCCACATTCCAGTTTCTTAAGATATCTAAAAATTGTTTAATCAGGAATTTTCTTAATTCTCTTGCAGTATACAGTATTGTTTAATTTAAACAATGGTGACGGAGAGTGCAGATGTGTCTACGAGAACGTGTACACATGTATGTATATATGTGTGTTGGTAGTAGAGTGCTTGTAGTGATGTATATGTGTACACATGTATGTATTTATGTGTGTTGGTAGTAGTGTGTTTGTAGTGATGTATATGTGTAGATGAAAGTGAAAAGTAAGCATCAGAAAATCTTGTATGATCTACATCACAATAAACATGAGCACAGTTCTGTAGTATAGCTGTCAGCTTGGCGGACTCGCTTGTCACCCTTTGCTGACTCTGCTGTCAACCTGACGGGACTCTGTTGTCAGCTTGGCTGCCTCTGCTGTCAGCCTGGAGACTGTTGACAATACCAGGTAAAGTTTATGTCAGAATTATGATTATTGAAGTGATGATAAAGATAATATTGATAACATAGAAGACTGTAAGTTCAGAAAGTGAAGGTAATCTGTGGATCATGTGTAAACACTGAAATACTGAAGTTAACAACACTTATATAAAGGAAAGTTGCACTTGGGTGTATTTATAGTTGTGGAAAAGATATATGAGAGATGTTAGTAGAGTTACAAATGTACTTAATCTTAGGTAATGTTATGGTAGCTATAGTATTGAATTAAGTTATAATATGCAAGAAAGGCGGTAAAGATTTGTCCAAAAATATGGGTCTTAGATATTGTTGCTTGATGTCACTTGTGATCTTAGAGACGTGTGATGTCGCTGTACTTTGGTCAGAAGACAATATATATAAAGCAAGCCATCATGTAGACCAGATGTTAGTGTAAACAAAAAACTTTATTAACACATTATGTTAAAACTCTGTACACACACACACACTCACACAACACACACACACACACACACACAACACACACACACACACACACACACAAAATCTGCGACCTTCAAAATTCTTTTAAACGAAACAAGAGAAACAGAGATTATTATATATTTTTTAAAGTTTTCATGGAGGAGATTTAGAGATTCGCATTTGACACTCATCAATACACAATATGTGAAAACCATACACAATATGTGACACTCTTTACCAAATGTGACACTCATACACAATATGTGACCTCATACACAATATGTGACACTCATACACAATATGGACACTCATACACAGCCCAGTGAACACTCATACACATTACGTAAACATTGCACTTATTCTTACAAAATAACATGTACACATGACACACATACACAATAACAAAATAAGCAATTACTTTCATTCATACATAAGAAATGTATACATGACACAGTCCTTCACTAGTGTCACAAAACGTGTCGCGTCTTTATATATTTACATGTTTCACAAACAATGTCGTCAAAATACCGTAAACTAGCGTATAAATGTATGTAAAAATACATATATATGTGTATGTTTGTGCGCTTGTTAGTCTTTCAATGTCATATGAAAATGACCAATAAATAAATAAAAATGAAAACAGTGTAATATTTAATACAGTTTTGATGGGATGGAAAAGTTCTTCAACACTTGGACATTCATCTACATAAAATAAAACACTTACAAATACTTTTAAACTGATAAATAAGCAAGAAAATCTCGTACTTAGACTAAATTCATACTTTTAATATAAAAGTATTTCCAAAATTTACTTTTAATTAGCCCTCTCCGGTGGCGGAACGTGAGGCAGCTTGGTGGCGTCTAGCTGACCTACGGTCCAGGCTGTCTTGGTGGGTGTAATTACTGGACGCAGTTTTCTGTGTGTGTCACCTCCAGTAATTCCACCCACCTGGACAGTCTCTACCGTAGACCAGCTAGACAAGACCAAGTTTCCATGCAGCGAGGTCACTGAAGGTGGCAACCGCTGACTCTGGGGAAGTGGGGAAGGGAGTCCACTCAGGTGACACAAGTAGACTCCTGGAGACACTGATCCGGGGAAGGCACCGCTGACTCTGGGGAAGTGGGGAAGGGAGTCCACTCAGGTGACACAAGTAGACTCCTGGAGACACTGATCCGGGGAAGGCACCGCTGACTCTGGGAAGTGGGGAAGGGAGTCCACTCAGGTGACATAAGTGGACTCCTGGAGACACTGATCCGGGGAAGGCACCGCCGACCTTAGGTAAGTGGGGAACGGAAGACATCCGGAGCGAGCGGATGGATTCCTGGATTCATAAACTTGGGGAAGGTTGTGGTTGAGGCTGACCTTGTGTAAGTGGGGAAGGGGAGACATCCGGGAGCGAGCGGATGGATTCCTGGATACATGAACCTGGGGAAGGCATGAATACGTGAAGTTGAGGCTGACCTTGTGTAAGTGGGGAAGGGAAGATATCCGGCGGTAGACGGAAGGATTCCTGGATACATGATCCTGGGGAAGGCATGAATACATGCAGTTGAGGCTGACCTTGGGTAAGTGGGGAAGGGAAGATATCCGGCGGTAGACGGAAGGATTCCTGGATACATGAACCTGGGGAAGGCATGAATACATGCAGTTGAGGCTGACCTTGGGGAAGTGGGGAAGGGGAGACATCCGGAGCGAGCGGATGGATTCCTGGATACATGAACCTGGGGAAGGCATGAATACATGCAGTTGAGGCTGACCTTGTGTAAGTGGGGAAGGGGAGACATCCGGCGGTAGACGGATGGATTCCTGGATACATGATCCTAAGGAAAGCAAGAATACCGCTGACTCTGAGGAAGTGGGGAAGGGAGTCCACTCAGGTGACACAAGTAGACTCCTGGAGACACTGATCCGGGGAAGGCACCGCCGACCTTAGGTAAGTGGGGAAGGGAAGACATCCGGGAGCGAGCGGATGGATTCCTGGATTCATAAACTTGGGGAAGGTTGTGGTTGAGGCTGACCTTGTGTAAGTGGGGAAGGGGAGACATCCGGAGCGAGCGGATGGATTCCTGGATACATGAACCTGGGGAAGGCATGAATACATGCAGTTGAGGCTGACCTTGTGTAAGTGGGGAAGGGGAGACATCCGGAGCGAGCGGATGGATTCCTGGATACATGAACCTGGGGAAGGCATGAATACATGAAGTTGAGGCTGACCTTGGGTAAGTGGGGAAGGGGAGACATCCGGCGGTAGACGGATGGATTCCTTGATACATGATCCTAAGGAAAGCAAGAACACCGCTGATCAGAGGAAGTTTGGGGGAAAGGGAGTCCACTCAGGTGACGCAAGCAGACTCCTGGAGACACTGATCCGGGGAAGGCACCGCCGACCTTAGGTAAGTGGGGAAGGGAAGACATCCGGGAGCGAACGGATGGATTCCTGGATTCATGAACTTGGGGAAGGTTGTGGTTGAGGCTGACCTTGGGTAAGTGGGGAAGGGGAGACATCCGGGAGCGAACGGATGGATTCCTGGGCACATGAACCTGGGGAAAGGCTGAAAGGGTGGAAGGCAAAAAGAGAGAGAGAGAGAAAAGGAGAGAGAGAGAGAAGAGAGAGAGAGAGAGAGAGAGAGAGAGAGAGAGAGAGAGAGAGAGAGAGAGAGAGAGAGAGAGAGAGAGAGAGAGAGAGGCGAGGCTGACCTTAGGGAACTGAGAAAGGGGAGACATCCGGGGGCCCACGGATGGATTCCTGGACACATGAACCTGGGGAAGGCGAGGGGGGGGGGACCTTAAAGACGAACCACTGGCCTCCACGTGGCAAGGTCTGGTAACTCAGAGATAACTCTGAGGCTGACAGTGGTCGCAAATAATTTTATTGTTATTATTATTATTACTATTCATAATTCAAGATTTGGATTCAAAAGCGTCGACCTCAACAGTAGCTATTGTGGTCTTATTCCCACTCCAGCCTCCCTGACAGTAGCCACGGTGATGTTATTCCCACTCCAGCGTCCCTGACAGTAGCCACGGTGGCGTTATTCCCACTCCAGCCTCCCTGACAGTAGCCACGGTGATGTTATTCCCACTCCAGCCTCCAAGACAGTAGCCACGGTGGCGTTATTCCCACTCCAGCCTCTTTGACAGTAGCCACGGTGATGTTACTCCCACTCCAACCTCCGTGACAGTAGCCATGGTGGTGTTATTCCCACTCCAGTTTCCCTGACAGTAGCCACGGTGATGTTATTCCCACTCCTCCCTCCCTGACAGTAGCCACGGTGGTGTTATTCCCACTCCAGTTTCCCTGACAGTAACCACGGTGATGTTATTCCCACACAAGAAACAATACAAGTGAATAAATAAGATAAAACGCAACACAACAGATGAAAAAACAATAAAAGGTGAAGAAATAAGATAAAAACGCAGCACAACAGATGAAGAAACAATACAAGTGAATAAATAAGATAAACGCAACACAAAAGGTGGAGAAATAAGATAAAACGCAACACAACAGGTAAAGATTCAATACAAGGGAAATTGTTGGATGTACTACAGGTGAAGACGTAACTTTATCTGATATATAGACATAAAGTGAGTAATGTGGATCCACAGATAAAGGAATATTGTGTAAAAAGGAAACCTCGAAAACAAGATGTATATTAAATCAAAAGAAACAGGTGAAAGGAACAAGATAATCAGTAGATAGTGAAAGATGAACTAGAATAGAACTACAAGGTGAAGTGTGAGATAAGCAAACAGGTGACTCTCTAAAGTGAACTTTAGGTAAAATAAAATAAGAAATAGTACTATAAACAAAGAAGAAAAAATGAATGAAAAATTAAACCAAATGTAAGTAAATGTAAGAAAAAAGGGGAAGAATTCGATCATTCTCAAGAATATAGATATTACAGATTAATGGTTATAGCGACACTGAATAACTGAATAACATTAATTTTTTCACACAAAAAAATGCAAATGTTTGTATCTCTTCATTAATCATATTTATTCACTTTCCCCAAAACTCAAATATTTTAACGAGACTTTGTGATGAATGGTTTTAAAAACGACAAGTTGAAGATTGAGACAATTATGCAACTTATGGGAATTCTTTATTCAGGGAAACGTTCGCCACACAGTGGCTTCATCAGTCCAATACAAAATAGAAAGGCGTAAGAAGAGAGAAGTTTGAGGTAATCAGTCCCTCAGCTGGGAGTCCGATGTGTTCAGTCCATCAATCTTGGATTGAACACATCGGACTCAGGCCTCAGGGACTGATTACCTCAAACTCTCCTCTCCTTTACGCCTTTCTACTGTGTATTGGACTGATGAAGCCTCTGTGTGGCGATACGTTTCCTGGAATAAAGATTCCCTTATGTTTGCATAAGTGTCTCAATCTTCAAACGAGACTTTAAATAAGTTTTCAAAGGGAAAATTTTAATGTTCTCTGTAAAATCAGACCTTTTACCTAGAAGAATTTATAAATAAAGACGTTAAATGAGTAAGTCTAATCGGAGACATAAAAACAAGTACATATTAATAAAAGAGATAAACCAGGTAGCTGAGACTTGAAGTCAATTCCTATACTGGTGTGAGTTTACCTGGATTGGAGTTCGGGGATCATACGCCCCCGCGGACCGTCTGTGTTACCAGGCCCCCGCCCCCTCCTGTCTGAATCATGAAAAAAACTGTATAGTATACTTATAATATTTACTGGCGTTTATACATGCCTATCACAATAGAGGTATTATTTGTTCTAAAACCATTATTAACCAGGAAGATCTAGAGACAGGACAAAGAGGTTGGACTGTGGGTCTTCAAGTTCATCATTTCTATGCACTAATCTCCTTTTTTTTTGGAAATTGTTCAAGCCTGAATTAATTTTTAATATTGCATTTTTCTTCAGTGTTTGTATATTTTGCAAGAAAAATTATTGAAAGATTAGTGGATTAATTACTTAAGATTGAACGTGTCTAAGTTAGGAAAATTTATGTTTTCGTAGTGGAGGCGCAGTCTTCATGAATTCTGGGAGATGTTAAGTGAATGTGTTGGTAATGTTGGAGTGATGCAAGAGACATGAATGTTAGTGTGGGGAGATATTGTTGAGTAGACGCAGTGGAAAAGTTTGATGTGTTTGGTGTATATAGCAGAGGTAGAAACCTTTAGTTTATTTCAAGGGATTACAGCCAGCATGTCAACATACAAGAACGTAAACGACATACACAAAATCGCACAGCAAAAACACAGTAAACAGTACAATGGAAAAAGGAACACTTACAGTACAGTTCATGACACAGGTGGACTTTACCACAATTTGTCGTGTCAAAAGATAATTTACAATCAAGGAACACTACAGTAACTTACAATAAGTACATAATATAAAAAGACAAGTTCAGTTAACATGTAAGAACATCACAGTAACAAAAAACAGTACCAGTAACACATTAAACAGTATAGTAAACACATAAAAATAGTACAATAAACAAAAATTTTAGTCCCACACACACCACTTGTAGTAACAATAATACAGTAAAACGAAAACCAGCATAGTAACACATAAAACTGCATTAGTAACTCATAAAAACAAATAGTAACACATAAATACAGCAAAGTAACACATAAAACATGCATAGTAACACATAAAAAGCATAGTAAACACATAAAGCCAGCATAGAAACCACATTTAAAAAAGCATAGTAACACATAAAAACTGCAAGTAACACAATAAAACCGCCATAGTAACACATAAAAACAACATAGTAAACATAAAACAGTACAATAAAAACACAAAACACAATATTACGTAAAAGTACACCCAAAAAGAATATATACAAGAGATGTAAATCAAATAACATTGTTGCAACACAGTACGGTAACACAGAAGGACAAGTACAGTAACACAGAAGACAGTACAGTAACACAGAAGGACCAGTACAGTATCACAGAAGACCAGTACAGTAACACTGGAAGAAAGTACAGTAACACAGAAGATCAGTACAGTAACACAGAAGACCAAGTAAGTAACACCAGAAGACAAGTACTAGTAACACAGAAGACCTGTACAGTAAACACAGATGACCAGTACAGTAAACACAGCGACAAGTACAGTAACACAGAGACCAGTACGTAACACAGAAGACAAGTACAGTAACACAGAAGACCTGTACGTAACACAGAGAAAGTACAGTAACACAGAAGACCAGTCAGTAACACAGAAGACCAGTACAGTAACACAGAAGACCAGTACAGTACACAGAAGACATTACAGTAACACAGAAGACCGTACAGATAAAAAAAAAAAACTAACACTGAAGACAGTACAGTTAACACCAGAAGACCAGTTACAGAGTAACACAGAGACCAGTACAGGTGTAACACAGAAGAACAGAACAGTACACAGAAGACCAGTACAGTAACACAGAAGACCAGTACAGTACACAGACAGACCATTACCGTAACACAGAAGACCAGTACAGTAACACTGAAGGGGGGGGGGGGGGAACCCCCAGTACAGTAACACAGAAGAACAGTACAGTAACACAGAAGAAACAGACAGTAACACAGAAGAACAGTACCGTAACAAGAAGACCAGTACAAGTAACCCACAGAGGACCAGTACGTAACACAGAAGACCAGTACAGTAACAAGATGACCAGATACAGTAAAAGTAGACCAGGTTCAGTAAACAGAAGACCGAGTACAGTAACACAGAAGACCAGTTCAGTAGCACAAGAAGTACAGCACAGTAACACAGAAGGACCAGCGACAGTAACACAGAAGACAGTACAGTAACACAGAAGACAGTACAGATAACACAGAGGACAGTACAGTAACACAGAAGACCAGTACAGTAAACGGAAGACAGTAAGTAACACAGAAGACCGACAGTAACACCA